TATATATATATACATAATTGTGAATATTGCAGATGTATTTTATTGTCCTATACAATATGTATAATTATACATAATTATACAAATTATACAAGGAAATAAAGTACAACTGGTTACAAACAAAAAAATTATTTCTTTAAACATCTTAGAACAAATCTGTACAATTTAAAACATGATTTTTTTTTCTACTACATTTCAGAGCAAATTTGTAATATCTAAGTATAAAACAGCAACCTGATATCTGTTGAATGCTTCTACTAGAGTAGCTAGGATTTCGGGCAAGTATGGAACCAACTCCAAATTTGCTTCTTCTTCAAGAGTTGCAAATGCAGAACATGCGGCCTCTTGCACCCGTTTACTACCGTCTAGAATACGAGCCAGCAACTGAAAAATAGTTTTAGTGATATAAATTTGAGTCCAGACATGAAGTGTCGAAAATTTTACAGTATTGCATTACGGTACCGAAAAATTCCTATAGTTCAGAAAGACACATAATTCTCCGTGCTCTCGAAAAGCTCTTATTTATCTTATTCCATAGAAAAGAGCAAGATAGCCAGCATGCAACAATTTCTCACAAATGACCCAATAATAAAGTGGGTTATGGTGTTTTTTAAGTCAGGTCCTGATTGTAGAAATATATGCTCGCACAATGTATACAAAATCACCTCACCAGTTTTCATAATCCCGTAGCTCTTCTGCAACAATCAAATGGGAGACTCTTTTTATTTGAATTTTTTAATTTTTGAGCCGCTGATAGCCTTCACTCATGCATTTTATTCACCAAAAAGGGACCCACCTCCTTTAACAGCTGCTTGAAATACATATTATGATCTTGCTGAACAACATAATGACAATATCGAGACAAAGTCCAACAAGTAATTGACCTCACAAGAGCCTGAAGTTAACAACATCCTTAATGGTTAGAAAATCATTTCAGTGCTGCAAAAAGATGTTTAAATCAAAGTACGAGACAAGAAATTATACTTTTCGATCTTGCAAAGATGTGATTAAGAATGGTACGAGTTCCGGTAAATGTGGAGTAATGCCGGACATACAGCCTTCCGCAACAGCACCCAAAGCTAATATGCCACTTTCTTTTATCTGAAACTACATTCTGTTTTTTCACACTCCATAACAGCAAACAAAAGCATTTGAAAAATTTCTTAAGCAATTTTCTTATGAATTTAAACAATTGAATAGAATAGAATGACTTTTTTTTTTAAAAAAAATATTTCAAACCATTGAGTTATTTAAATTCATGAGTGTTGGATAAAATCAAAACATAAGTGGATAAAATATGACTTACCAGCCAGTTATTGTGAAAGAGAGTTTCCTTAAGGATAGGTAGAAGAGTTGGTAAGAAGTCATCATTAAATATGCTAGAAAGTACATCCAAGGAAGCAGCACTACATTTTCCTGCAAATTTGTACAACCGTTAATCATTACTTGGAAAAATTACATTCATTAGTGCCTAAGAAACGAGAAATACACATTTGACGATAATAAGTTTCACACAAAACAAACATCGAAAAACATACGCAAATTCCACTCAGTCGAACTGTCATCATCCCCATCATCATCATCATCCATCGATTCCTAAATTTTGAAAAAACTGTTATATCAATCCATAATGTCTTAAAAATTCATCTCTCGCATTATTACCTTCCAAGTAGTGATATAGAAATATCTCACCACTTGGAATTAGAATAATGCAAAAATCTCAAATCACAGGTGCTTATAAAAGAGTACAGGCTAAGCCTCGTATGAAGTGCACATTTGCTAAGATTTATTGAAAACAATACAGGTACCACCTCAACAGCAGTGTCGGACTTTTTTTGTGTTTGCATTTGCGTTTTGGCACGGTGGAAACGCGGCTTTATATCTTGTTGACGATCGGGTATTGCGCCATCCTCTTCATCAATATCACCCTGAAAAACTGTGTGCAAATAATCAAGCAAAGCAACTTAGTTCTGCAATAAAAAAGGAATAATGACGGAATAACTTTCGAGGTAAACAATCATATAAAAGATCTGTCGGCATAACCTACTTTCAAAACGGCAACATCCACATCGGAATACCTCATACACCTAACCAGAACTGGTATCAACTTAGGAAGGTGAGGCAATAGAGCTTCTTTGCAAATTTGTGGGTTTTCTGCTAATGCTAACCAAAATTCACAAGCTTCCAACGCTGTTGCTTCATTTGGATCCTAAAAATCAGCAAAATTTTAAATCCCGTAGTAAAGCATGAATAAGCAAGCACTATCAATAAAAGAGTAAATCTTCTACCTGTGTCCTCAGAAGCATAAACTCTACAATGTTTCCTAACTGAGATGCTAATTTATCGAGATGAGAATCAAGTAGCAATGTTAACGACCGACAAAGCTGCTTTTGCACTTCCTGCAACAAATTAGTACAATATAATAAAAAACAAAGAAGAAGTAGGGCTACATATGAATCAGAGTTTGTAAGAAAAAGGAAAAAGAAATGTCGTTTTTCTTACGAATCAATGTCAAACATGCAACTTTCTATTAACAAGAATGACTTCAGCTTATTTAATTGCAGTCTCTCTCCTAAGCTGACAATATTTGCAAAGAAATCAAGAAAATAAGACAAGTAACACAATATAATAAAAGTGAAATAAGGTCCGACACTTCACACTACATCGTTTCTGCAAGCGTAGTAAATTGTACGTTAACAATCAGTTTGAGAAAGTAAGGCAGAAATACCGTGTCTATATCATTTGCCAAAGCAAACAGGTGTTGCAAAAATATGTCCATAATATTGTTTAATGGTTCCGTTTGAACTAATAAAATGCAGTTCACCGAATTAAGCGCCAACGCCCTATAATTATTAGCATTTTACAAATCAAAGTCACTAAACAAACAGAAATAAAAGGAGCCGTTGTTTTTTCATAAATTAAATGGAAGGAAAACAACCGACCTCAACTTAGGTGCTGGAGAATTGAAGAAACACAAAAGTTTTGGAATAAGTGTGCTCAAGTGTTCTTGAGGTGCTAACATATCTGCAGAATCCTCGCAAATTTTCTGTATCGCACCCATAGCACCCTGTAAACTTACAGAATGCTTAAGATTTTGTGTTCTGTGGAACCTAACAGTATTATCGAAGCAAATTAAACAAGTTAAATTTATATGTTGCAAAAAAAAAAACCTCTTGCAAGTTCTCATCAGATCCGTCTAGCATATTGCATAATGTAGGAAGCAAGGCTGGCCACTGAACGATACCCTCATGGACAACAATTGTTGTGATAATAATGCCCACAGTAGCACGTATTAACGGATGGCAATCCGAAATTGCCAGAAGTGTTCTGTTCTTAACATAATGTCGTATAGGTTCCGGTAAACGTCCCCAAAGCATTCTTATTGAATTTTTGAGTATCAGACCAGCCAATGAACGATTCGCTACCTGCAAATATGCCTATTTGTCATTGTAATTCACAACATCCCAGTAAAGGACTCATTCCAAGCATTTATCGGTAGCTGACGTGTGAAACAGCAGTTTGATAGGTTATGCTAAGAAAGGTGAATGATAAAGGAGATGTGATGGTTTCAAAAAAATCAACCAAGATGCTTAAACTATTTAAACTATCAAAAATATGAAGATCTTTTGAGATTCGAAATCTCCGTATCTAGTTTAAAGTAGAAATTCGAAATGAAGCATAATGTGAACTCGCCGTTTTTGTAGAAAACAGATAAACAGTAATAATACCTGCTCATCTTTCAGTTCGCTGAGAATGAATACAAGATAACAGCAAAATTCGGGATGTAGATTAAGCTGGTCAAGACGCTGAAACATACTATGAGTGACAAAGCGAAATGTAAAATTAGACAACAAAAGTAATAAGTTTTATAAAAGAGAATATACTTCTTGAACATTTCGTTGTGTCTGTGTATCGGGTGATTGTGAATGCTGGAGGAGTTGCACGACCTGTTGTAACTCTTCCGGAATAGGCCTCCAGTCTTCCGCTTCTCCGGTCATTTCAAAAGATCATACTATGTAAAATATATCTATCTAATCTGAAAAAGGAAGAGAGACAACCTAACAGTGAACAAAACCTTGGGTTGCCAAAGTCGAACGCAAGTATCCTGTTAGTAGCTCTTTGAGTACTTAGCAGACGTAACAATGGGAATGGCGTATTGCGGACTATTCCAATCGCATCTTCTTAAGTGTGACTTCATTCCTAACTAACAAAAATGCCCCTATCCTTCCGGAATGCCTTGAGTATTATCCATTTCCACTGGTTGAAATAATGAATAAACCAATAAAGCAAAGAACACTGCAAAGAGAGCGCAAAGCACCTTATGCTTGTCCTTCGTATTTTCGGGAGTATCTCCCAGACACAGTTAATCTCTCAAATGACTATCCTTACTTACCTAACCCTACGCTCTCAACACTATACATGATATATAAAAGACAAGTTGGGAGGTACACGTTTTTGCACAGCGTGGATGGTTTCTGTTGCATTACGCCTAACTAGTGAAATCAAACAAATTCGACCAATGGTGAAATGTCATTCGGCCCAGGTATGGAAAGCGCGGAGGACCGGAGGTTGTGAAGGATAGGCGGGACAATACGGGTCACAGTTTGGGAAGTTGTATATGGCCTTCATTTACATTGTTTTGAATGCCAACAATCATAGAGGTGTATCAGATGGTCTCCTAGATTCATTACTTTTCTCCCTCTTTGCGAATAATTGATGAAATTCAACCTCTGCCCTTCTCACAAATAAGACTCGTCTCTCATCCTATCCTCCCGATACACCCTGTGCTCTCGCGGAATGTATTCTTTACGGCTTCTTCTCTCTGTATATTTCTTCAGCAGTGCGACAACATTATGCTCTACGCTGGGCCAAAAGATTCATGGAGACCAAGTCATAGTGATCCTCTCAGGCGTGAAACGGCTGCTGTGACGGAACTGATTATAGGGAAAGGTCGACAGTAGGGTGGAAAGAGGGGAAAGAAGGATGCAGTTGAGGCTGGCGAGGATTCCGGTGAATAAATGAAGAAGTATGTCGCTGACGAGGTACAAGATGGATGAAATTACGAGACAAATTACTTTGAAATAGATTCCGCTGGAACTATAGGAATGCGAGACATCTTTACCTTTGAAAGATCCTGTCAAGATTGTTGCTTCTGTGACGTTGCTCATTAATTTTTCTTCCACTACAATCCGCGTCCCATTGCAAAATTTTGGCTGGTTGATATTTCGCAACATGATAATTGGTAACACGATAATTGGCGTTCCGCAACAAGATAATTGGCATCATTAGATCGTAAATGCATTTTTGCTCAAGCGTTAGCTTGGAAGTATTTAATTAAGTATTTGACTTTACGGTAAAAGATCACCCGTGTTGTAATTTTGTTGATGACACAGTTCATAATTGAATAAAACAGCAGCAAATTGATTCGGTGATGGCATTCCCAACTGATCAAGGAGTTTTTTCGCGATTTCCAAGCACAAATCTTCAATCATTATCAATGTTTCATTGCAGATTTCTGCTGTAAAAGCCATGTTTATATTCGAATTTTCCTTTGTATTCGACGGAAAATATCTTTAGCCATGTGCGATTTACATTCCTTCCATATATACCATACTCATTAACAGTAG